CCCTCCAAAAAAAGCAGCACCGTCAGGCGTTCGTGGGCGATTTTTTTACAGACGAGGGGTTCCAGCAGCGGCACCTCGTGAATCCGGGGGCAAAGCGCCGTCCCCAGCACCTTGGTCGTATCCAGTCGTCCCCGGGATCCGGCACCGCCGGGAGGTTTCTCCCCGCTTCGACTGATGTTGCCCAAACTATGATAACGTTTGTGCTCTTTTTCGGAACCGGAGGCTCCTTTACGTTCTTGTAACGTCAACGTGGCGAAACGACCGACGCTGAAGGCCGGGGGGCCGTCGGGTGGGGGGCCGCGGGCCGAGCCCGTCCCCGCCGGCTGCGGGAGGCTGTTGGAACGGGAAAGCGAGCGCGGCAAGCCCGGAACGGGAACGCCGGCGTCTCCCGATCCGGTGAGGGTACGGGCGCGGGAGAGAGAAGGGCGAGGGTAAAGGACGTCCTCGGTCAGGTCCCACAGGCAGAACTGGGTGTCCTGGCCGGCCGAACCGAAGCGGTAGGTGACGGCGGGCGAGCGACGGACGAGGGGATCGGGGGGTTCGTCCTCCTCCTCGCCCCCGCTCAGCTCGGGGGGTTGGGGGGCCTGCGTCGCCCCGGTGAAGGGATCGAAGGCAACGGCGTTAACCCAAGACTTGTGACCGTGCCCGCGGGCCACCACTCGCCCCTCGGCGAAAGACCAAACGGTCACCAAATCGTCCTCGCCTCCCGTTACCACGTAACGCCCGTCGGGGCTCCAACAGACGCAGAGCAAACCCCCGAAATAACTCTTCATCATCCCCTGCAGCAGCATGGAGTCGAAATGGAAGACGCGCAGGCAACCGTCCTGGCTGACGCAGGCCAGCGAGCGCCCGTCGGGCGAGAAGGCGAATTCGTTGAGGGCCCCTTCGCCCACCGCCCATTTGAGGAGGGGGTTTCGGGGGGTTTTGCTCTTACAGGCGAAGACGCTGAAGCCCTCGCCCTGCGTGAGGAGGTTGTACTGAGGGGCCGCGGCACCGCAGGGTTGCTCGGCGTCGTACAGGTAGAGGTGACCGCTGGCGTGGGAGGCCAGGAAAAGCCGCTCCGTCTCCGGTAGCCATTTGACGAAGGTCACCTTCGTCTTGTCGATCAGGCGCTGCGGGGAGAAGGGGGGGGGGAAGAGGGGTCAGGATTGGGCCCCCGGGCACGGGTGGGGACACAGATGGGTGGCACGGCGCAGGCCCGGGGTGGCACTGAGGGCAAAGCCAAGAAAGGGACATTTGGGGACCCGAATTGGGGCATTTGGGGGCCCGATTCCGTGCCACGGCGCAGCCCCGGGGCGTCACCGAGGGCAAAGCCACACGAGGGACATTTGGGGACACAAATGGGGACATTTGGGGACACAGATGGGGACATTTAGGGACAGGAGTGAGGGCTGAGGCACAGCCCCGGGGTGTTGCTTAGGGCAAAGCCAAAAAAGGGACATTTGGGGACCCGAATCGCGGCATTTGGGGGCCC